TTGTGAAAATCCTCCGCTTGTACACACCAGTGAATGAGTTTGAGGAGAGAGTGTGTATATCATTCATAAAGTCTGTACAGGTGAGTAATTTCTCAATGTTTTTAAATGTATTTTCAGTCAGATATTGTTCGATTTACATAGTAAAACACTTCTCCATCCTCTCTAGACTTTATTAAAGGATCGTAAGGAGTCTTCTCAGTTACTGATGGACGCAAAGATCATTTTCCCAGTCACTTTCCCCTTCAACCCTTCACCTGTGGCCCTCGAGACCATCCAGATCCCCAGCAGCCTCAACCTGAACTTCCTGACACCAGTTTAAAAACACACCAGTGACATCTTCATGGAACCTGCAGAGCAGACAGGATCAATCTGCTTTGAAATAAAGCCTTGGATTGTATTTGTGGTCACATTTTCTGGGATGTTTGTTTACACTTCCTGTATCACTGTTAAGGATTTCACTTATGAGATGAATTTTAGAAATGTTAAACCGATTTCACTGTGTTTGCTGGTGTGTGTTTTGGGGCTAAAATGAGTTGTAGTGCTAAGGACCTCAGTTAGGTCATATAGCTCAAATGGGTCTGCTGCCTTTATAATAGTTTGCCAATAAAATATTGCTGTAAATATTTATAGGGTTTCTTGTAAGGTTGAAAATGGACAGGAGCACTTTTCTTGATCTTTATAAAAATCTTAAATATTTTTGTGTGCAGTATTTGGATGTAAAAGCTTTGTCATTGCCATTTGAAATATGAAATCAAATGCTATTAAAAAAATTGACTGAATTTTTTTTCTTCATTTAATATTTAAGGCATTCAAACATTATAATACAGTATAAAAAATATATATATATATATATATGTACACATACACAGTGTATATATATATTTTTTTTTTTCTTTTGCAATCGATTATAAACAATATCATTTTGAAATAAGAGTAACAAGTAAATCAGTGAAAATAAGTAACTGCAAATAGATTGTAAAAAAAACAATTGTTTTTTGGAATTAATGTAACGAGTCAATTGGAATTAATTTGTTAAAATATGTGCTTTGTGGAGAGCAAAGAAAAACAGAAGTTATATAAATCCTCATAAGAAAAAAAAAAACACTGATTTACTCATATACTTGGTTTGTGTTACACAAATGTTACAATCAACAAACTGACCAGCAACAGATTAAAGAGAACAAAAGGTATTTTATACCGGATATTTTTTAAATGTTTGGTATTGCATCTTTATTGAATCACAGTTTTTACAGTGTACAATATAAAAATTTTATAGATTAAGATATGTAAACAACTGGCCATCCATCCAGAGTGTTTCCCTGTCTACGGCCTGAGATGCTGGGACAGGCTCCTGAATCTCTACATAGAACATGCAGCTTGGAGAATGGATGGCTATATAAACTCATTTGCATACATTAATTCTTATAAGTTCATATCTTCACACTCATCTTGTTTGTCTGAAAGTTCTGAAATCTTAAACGCACTATTTGTCCATTTGTGTTCTGACTGTTCCACAGATTGCGGAAGGGAGCATGAAGATCCATATCCTGAGCTGCCAGTGGAGACTATGGAGCATGATGACCCAAACCTGCTGTCTGCTTCTAGTTGTGCAGAGTTTACCTGAGACCTTTTAACTAAATTCATTGGGGAAAAATATACAAGCAGAAGAAATATTTTTTAAATGTGCTAGAACACAGGCTAACACGATTCTAACACAATATATTATATATTTGAGATCTTTCCTTATCTGACTCATTTCACTTTTAGAGGTGACTCTGACTGTTTCTAGTCATCATTGATCTAACCTGTGCTAAACTTCCTTTTTTTTTTCAGATTATAGGCTATAAAAACAGTTTATCTTTGGCCACATACTGTACACACTTCAAATTATTTTTCCAATTCGTTCATTATCTTAATCTAGATCATTTCAGAATGTCAGAAGTTAAACACATCATTTTAATGCTATTAAGTGCATCAATAACTAGTTTCATTCGGTTTGATTTTTGACAGCCGTCATAATGTTCAACACTTCATTAAAAGATAATAAAATAGGCCCGAACAAACTGAATAAGTATTTTTTTTATATTAAATTTATATTCAAAAAATATATATTTTATTTATAAATTTCAAGATCAAACTCTTATAACAAAAAGATACTCACTGGATAGTCCAACTTTCCTTCTGTATCTTGCTGTGAACTGAGTTGTGTGGCGTCTGTAACATTTTTCAGTTACTGTTTTCCCTCTAACACTCACTAGACAAAAAGTAGAAAATCATCATCATGTAGGGACTTGATTTTATCCAATGGAAATTGAATGATTTTCATTATTCTTCATGTGGCTTCCTGTTTTATCACCTGCATTATTATGGTGGTTGTCAATATATGTTAAAGTTAGAAAACACATTTTAGTAGCAGTGTGCATTGTCGAATTCACAAGTTTAAAATGAATTTTAAATGAATGAATTTTAAAATGAATTTCACATTTGTTCTGTATTTTTTCTTTTTACAAAATTATTCTGGCAACCACAGCTGACATTTTTATTTTTTATATTTTTTTACAAAAATTTTTTTTACTGTGTACATATACAGTATATAATATACTATATATCATAATTAGTTGTGATTGACAGAGATTAGAAACATGACAGAAAAACTTTGCTACTACTACAGTTTTCTATGGGTTATGTAGACATAAATTTTCACCATTTCACAACAAAACAGATGGGATTCTTAATATTTTAATTTAAAAAAAGGTCACAGTGAGACCAAAGTGTACTGAAACAGCCAAATAAAAACACTCACTGTTGGGTGGTGGAAGTCCAATGCTGTTATATCGTTTTATGGCCCCTGACTCATAACTTGTGTGAGACGAATCTCTGGAACGTGATGATCCAAAAACTGTGTCTGCTCCTGATCGTGATCTGAATGAACCATAAGCAGAACTTCCCAGAGACCATGAATCAGATCCATCATCTCCACTCACTGTAATAATGAAAACAGAGAGCAGATCAATAGTAGAACATATATATTATTATTATTTTATTTTTTTTTATTTTTTTACAAATGATTATAAACAATATTATTTAAAATAAAAGATTTGTAAAAAAAAATAGCTAAAATTTTTGGAATTATTGTATTGAGCCGATTGGAATTAATTTGTTAAAATATTATGTGCTTTGTGGAGAGCAAAGAAAAATAGAAATTATATAAATCCTCATGAGAAGAAAAAAACACACTAATTTACCTCATATACTTGGTTTGTGTTACACAAATGTTACAATCAACAAACTGACCAGCAACAGATTAAAGAGAACAAAAGGTATTTTATACCGGATATTTTTTAAATGTTTGTTAACACAAATTTACGAGAAAGAACAGTCAGTTAAATATAATGTTACTGCATCTTTTTGATGCAGTACAGCAGTACATTATGACAGCCATCATAATGTTCAATCAAAAGATAATGAAATAGGCCCGAACAAACGGAATAAGTATTATGTATTTTTTTAATTATAAATTTCAAGATCCAACTCTTGTAAGAAAAAGATACTCACTGGATGGTCCAACTTTCCTGCTGTGTGCTGTTTTTATAGGCTCAATTGTGTGGCATCTGTTAAATATTTCAGTTACTGTTTTCCCTTCAACACTCACTAGACAAAAAGTAGAAAATCATCATGTAGGAACTTGATTTTATCCAATGGAAATTGAATGGATCATTAAAAGTGGTGTATATGACAGACAGACGGTTGAATAGAACAAAGATACTAACTGGATGGTGGAACTCCAATGCTGCAAGATTTTCTTACAAGCTCAAAGACACGTGTGTATTGTGATCTTTTCTTTTGTTTTGTGAGTGGACTGAAGGAAGGGCTCTCTCCATCACCCACTATAGAATAATAATAGCAGATCCAAATGGAAAATGTCTCATACTAAGTTTACTGAAAAACAAAAATAGGAAAACCGCACAAAAATTCTCTCCACTTATTAGAAATACTGTAAAACTAATAAAGACTTTTCATTACTTGTGGCTGTTCCCTATGAAAATGGTAAAAATGGTTCAGGGAATAAGAAACGGAAACTGCAGCACTATTGCACTAACTTTGGTAACACCATAGTTTAACAGAAAACACAAGACACTTATTTCCTCTGCCAAAAAAAAAAAAAAAAAGGACCTGTGGGGCCCGC